CCACCCGTTCGTCATGGGTCTCGGCAACGGCACGCTCCCGCTCTCGTCGTTCAAGGGCTACCTCGTGCAGGACTACCTCTACCTCGTACATTTTGCGCGGGCCAACGCGCTGGCGTCGTACAAGGCGACATCGATGGAGGACATTGTGGCTGGCGCAACCATTGTCAAGCACATTGCGACGGAGATGGCGCTGCACATTGACTACTGCGCGTGGTTCGGCATCAGCGTGCCGCAGATCGAGGCAACCGAGGAGCACCAGGCGTGCACGGCGTACACGCGGTACGTGCTCGACGTCGGCATGAGCGGCGACTGGATCGGGTTGCAGGTGGCGCTGGCGCCGTGCCTGCTCGGGTACGGAGCCGTGGCGAAGCAGCTGCACGGCGACGCGGCGAGTGTGCGCGGTGAGGGCAACGTGTACTGGAAGTGGATCGAGAACTACGTCGCCGAGGACTACCAGCAGGCGCTGCGGACAGGGTCGGAGTTGCTCGAGAGGCATGCTGCTCGGCAGAGTCCCGAGGGCATCGAGAGGCTGGCCAAGATTTTCATCCACGGCACCAAGGTTCGTATTGATTCTGTGACGGTCCCTCTTCTCGTAATGATGACGATGATGCTGACGGTTTGCAGATGGAGATTGGCTTCTGGGAGATGTTCCCGTGCCAGTAGATTCGTTTCTCCTGCTCGAGGGACCGGAAGAGGGGGGCTGCATGTTGTCGGGAGCCTCTTGGTGTGAAACTGGGGGTAATTGGGGAAAAATGTCCGAGCGGTATGATATTTCGAAGACGTGCAAATGAAGCATGATGCAATGTGAGAATGTGCAGATATATGTTGCCTACGCTGTTGATGTCGGTGTCATCGTCGTCGTGTTTGAGGGCAGATGTATGCCTTCAGACACTGCCTTTCCTTTCCCTCTGTTCCTGGAAGGCATGGGAAGGTGGTGAGGTAGCCACGGGCAGGTACCACCTTTCCCTCTGTGCCTGGAGGTGAGGCAGTCATGGGTAGGTGCTACCTTTCGCTCTGTCCCTGGAAAGCACGGCAGGTGGTGAAGTAGGGGCAGGTCAGTGAGGCCCACAGTGACGTGGAGGCCAAACGACATGGCAATTGCCACTGTTTGATTGCCATGAAGAGTCCTTATCAGATAAGTCCTCTGGTCCCACAAGTCTAGCCCTAATACGGTATGGCCCGTGACCGTCTAGCCACTTATGTGCTAGCGGCACCTAGCCTGACAGACCCTGCGCCTGAATTTTTTCTTAGCGGCAGGTGCTTGGGCGCGCTCTGTCGCTCGCTGGGTCGGACAGAGCACCCGGCCAGCACCCAGACAGGGCAGGAGCAGGCAGAGAAAAAAAAAATTGGCCCTGCCCAACGCCTCCCCCGAAACGCCGTTTTCCCTTTTGTACCCCAAGAAACTCCTTCCCCTTCTTCAACCCTTCATCCTTCCCTCATCTCTCCATCCCCCACTCCATCCATCTCTCTCTCTCTCTCCCTTCCATCAACAACAACATTCCCTCCACGCATCACTCGTGCGACTCTTTTTTCTTCTTCCTCGTGTTCAGCAGGAAGATTGTCGCGCGCTCTTAATCAAGCACATACACTCCCTTTCGTTGACCGTTCTTCTTCGCGCCAGTCTTACCAAGGCGACGCGATTCCTTCCTCCCGCCCAATCTACGACTCTTCAACCACACAAACAGTGATCATGTCTGGCGGCTACGGCGGCGGTGGTTACGGCGGTGGTGGTGGCTACGGCGGCGGCGGTGGCTACGGCGGTGGTGGTGGTGGTTACGGCGGTGGTGGTCGCGGCGGCTATGGTGGTGGTCGCAACGACCGCGACCGTGGTGATGACCGTGGTGGCTACGGCGGTGGTGGCGGCGGCTATGGGTATGTTCATCCCATTTTATTCCAGCCTCAATCTTCAGGAGACGATCAGCATGACTGACCTTTTTCCAACAGCGGCGGTTACGGTGGCGGCGGCGGCGGCTACGGTGGTGGTGGTGGTGACCGCATGTCCAACCTCGGTGCCGGTCTGCACAAGCAGGAGTTTGGTTCGTCAATCCCTTTCAATTCCCCCACGCTCATGGCATCCTCTAACACGCCTCCTCCAGACCTTGCCTCTCTTCCCAAGTTCGAAAAGTCCTTCTACAAGGAGCACCCCGATGTTGCTGCTCGCAGCGACGCCGAGGTTGAGTCCTTCCGCAAGAAGCACCAGATGACCATTGCTGGCAACAACATCCCCAAGCCCGTCGAGACTTTCGACGAGGCCAACTTCCCTCGCTACGTCATCGACGAGGTCAAGGCCCAGGGCTTCCCTGCGCCCACTGCCATTCAGTCCCAGGGCTGGCCCATGGCCCTCTCCGGTCGCGACGTCGTCGGTATTGCCGAGACGGGTTCCGGAAAGACGCTTACTTACTGCCTTCCCGCCATCGTCCACATCAACGCCCAGCCTCTCCTCGCCCCCGGCGACGGCCCCATCGTCCTCGTCCTCGCGCCCACCCGTGAGCTGGCTGTCCAGATTCAGCAGGAGATTGCCAAGTTCGGCAAGTCGTCCCGCATCCGCAACACGTGCGTCTACGGTGGTGTCCCCAAGGGCCCTCAGATCCGCGACCTGTCTAGGGGTGTCGAGGTCTGCATCGCCACGCCCGGCCGTCTCATCGACATGCTCGAGGCTGGCAAGACCAACCTTCGCCGCGTCACCTACCTCGTCCTTGACGAGGCTGATCGCATGCTTGACATGGGTTTCGAGCCCCAGATTCGCAAGATCATCTCGCAGATCCGCCCCGACAAGCAGACTGTCATGTGGTCCGCCACGTGGCCCAAGGAGGTCCGCGCCCTCGCCAGCGACTTCCTCGACGACTTCATCCAGGTCAACATTGGCTCCATGGACCTCGCCGCCAACCACCGCATCACCCAGATTGTCGAGGTTGTCTCCGAGAGCGAGAAGCGCGACCGCATGATCAAGCATCTCGAGAAGGCCATGGAGAACAAGGAGAACAAGGCCCTTGTCTTCGTCGGCACCAAGCGTGTCGCTGACGAGATCACCCGCTTCCTCCGCCAAGACGGCTGGCCCGCCCTGTCCATCCACGGTGACAAGCAGCAGAACGAGCGTGACTGGGTCCTCGACCAGTTCAAGACGGGCAAGAGCCCCATCATGGTGGCCACGGACGTGGCTTCGCGTGGTATCGGTATGTCCCTGATCCTCCCCTCCCTCTCCCTCTCCCCCTCCCCCCGCAACGTCCAGCAAACGCCTGCTGCTGCGCTTTACTCTTTTGTCTAGGGGCTTTCTTCATTGCGCAATCTTGCCTGATATCCTCGTGCCTGTTTGGTTCTCACTGTGTGGAGTCTTGGTCTCCAGTGTGGTGGCGGCGCTCTTCTGCTCTCTGCTACACTCGATGGTCGACCCTTGTACCGCCAGCCTACTCTGCTCAGGCTACAGCTCATGCTCCAGTTCATGGTAAAGCGCATGGTACAAGCGGTGACATGGCATCCCTTGATCCCGTCAAGCTGTCGTCGTCGTCTCACACACACAAAAGTCTTCTCGAGTCTGAGGACTCCCGTTGCACTGAACCCTTATGGATGGCATTTGGACGCATTTGGACAGCCCTATCTGCCGCAGAGTCAAAGACACAGCCGGATGTATTCGGCTGTCGTCCCTGGTTCCATGCTGGAACGTTGCTACACAAACCCCCGTGACCCGCATGCTAACCCTGTTGCCTCAAGATGTCCGCAACATCACTCACGTCATCAACTACGACTACCCCAACAACTCGGAGGACTACATTCACCGTATCGGCCGTACTGGCCGTGCCGGTGCCACGGGTACCGCCATTACCCTCTTCACCACTGACAGTGAGTTTTTGTTCTTTCCCACTTCTCGATCCGCTCAAGCACAAGCACAAGCCTTGCTAACTCGCATCATCAGACTCCAAGCAGGCTCGTGACCTCGTCAACGTTCTGCGTGAGGCCAAGCAGGAGATTGACCCTCGCCTCGCTGAGATGACTCGCTTCGGTGGTGGTGGCGGCGGCGGTCGCTACGGCGGATGGCGTGGCGGCCGCGGCGGCGGTAGAGGTAGGTCGCGCTACTGAATGCCGAGGGGACGGTTTTGTTGACAAACAATCCTAGCCAACGCCAACAGCCAGCCCATGGGAAACCGCCGCTGGTAATCGTGTAGACGTGTCGTCCCGGACGCGCGCCTCATGTGACCCTTTGGCCTCATCATACCCCCCCTAAAAGCATTTATGGATTCAAAGAAACCCGGCGTTAGGTTAGAGGATGGATGGATTAGACCTTGACCTCCATGTCCTACGTCTGGCAGGGTTCGCCAGGCGTTTGTTGTTTGATTCTGTTTGACTTTATTCCCTTGCTATTCAAAGTTATTGCACGCTCGGATTTTGCATCGAGACTTGAGATGAGTAAGGAGAGATGGCTATGGCTGTCGTGGTCATCGCTCACAGAAGGAAGCTATTCGGGTTGTTTCCAGATAGTCCAATGAGTCGCAGTAATGCTTATGACGTTGACCAAGAGTACTGTGGTGATTCATTGACATTTTGTGAGGTGCATGGATGCTTCTCTAGTACGTCCATACTCTCCCGGAGTCGTCAGAGAGGATTCACTCCATGTCTAAATTAATCTATAGTGACATTCCTAAGCACAACACAAAAAAAGCACAACACAAAGAAGAAGGAAAACGGAAAGCTAAACGCCCAGGTTCTGCGCCTCGCACATCTGGGCATACATGCCCCCGCGCCGCACGAGCTCCTCATGCGTACCGACCTCGACGACGGCGCCGCCGGAAAAAACAAAGATGCGGTCAGCGGCACGGATGGTCGACAGCCGATGGGCGACGGCGACGGCGACGCGGCTGCGGCCGTCTGGGCGCGGCGCCGACGCTCGCGCGAG